TTTTTCCAACTACACTCATGGCATCCGGTCAGTGGACAAAGAGGGGCCTGTGTCACAGAAATCCTCTATTAGCTTTAATGAGAGGACTCGGGAGGCGTGGGACCCCTGGGTTGTTGCGAGCAAGTCTGAACCTGCAGTGCTGCCCCTCTGACTACATCTGACTACAAATAAAAAATAAAAAAAAAGAAAACCTGAAATGAGCAAGTTTGAAGTTAAGGATTTCTCCTTTGTTCGTTTTTCCTCCTCTTGCACCTGATTCTTTCTGAACTAAACAGAAAAGACTTGGTCTACGCAGATTAACTCCACACCTCCTCCTCCTCCTCCTCCTCCTCCTCCTCACCCCACATTGTTACACATCTGGATCTTGTATTCTATCGCCCCGACTATCACTGCTAGTCCTCCTCTTTTTCCTCCACCCCCCTTCATCCCTCCGCTCCAGGTCTCTTTCTTTCAGTAGTAGGGCTGTTCCTATCGATGTGCTTAGAAGGCGAAAGTGCATACGTGAAGTAAACATTTCAGAATGACTTATTAGCAACACATCAAAGACAAACACCCCACGTTGGCTTCGTTCAAGCTTTTTTTTTTTCGGGTGACAGACATTTAGTTTTGAAAGAGGAGTCGGAAAGGCTGGATGCAGCAGAAGGGGCTACGGTCGGGAATATAACTGTGATCCTAAAGCGGGCCGTGAAGGCAGATGGTGTGGCGGCTCTGATTTATGTGCCTGCAGAAATCAAAGGCCTCTGAACTGGGCTGTTTCCAAACCATTACAGAAGAACAATAAACTACGGCCACTCTTTGATCACCAACGTTTGCGGATGGAAACGGGACAACAAATGCATGCCTGATGGAAATGGGTTGAGGTTGAGGAGAATAAGACGGGACAGGACGGAACACGATAGGACAGGAGAGGAGAGGAGGAGATGGTGATTCCATAGTGTAGCTACTGTATAGGTTAGCGTGCACAGAGTTCTGGGTTTGATTCCCAGAGTAACCACATATCCCTGCTGGTGTTCCCCACTCTTGTAATTCACTTCGGATAAAAGCATCTGCTAAATGCATAATGTATGTTAATGTAGTACAGGTGTAAGCAAATATTAGCTTAGTAGCTCCCTCTGTTCTATTTTATGCTGAGCATGTAACGGCATGTGTGTTTATTGCCTATGATATTGCAGTATATCGTATTGTTGCCCCTTTATTGTGATATATTGTGATCTTATCCCTTAAACTGTAGATAAGACAGGACAGAATGGGATATAAAGGATGGGAAAGACAGGAGGCATTATGGGGGTTCGAGTCAGATGGGGCAAACAGTGCCCAATATTTGTAAAGGAGGCCACCCTCTGACCCCTCTCTGTCTTCACGGAGGGAGGAGGTTAAACCAAAACAGGACATTCCACATTAACACAATAAAGAACCAATGTCAACAATCTGAAGAAGAATGACACTTGACCCCGACTCCAGTGTGACACATGCCTTATTCTGGTTACATAAGCATCTTGTTACTGAGACCCCCACCACTACCCACACTTACAGACATGTACCCAGCAGGTCAGAGATGAAGACACAGAGTCACTAACTGCACCATTTTGGTGAATGAACAGAACACAGAAGCTGTGCTGGGATTTGTTTTCACAGTAGTCTCCTCTCTTCCCTCCTCGTTTCTTTCTCTTTTTTTTTCCTCCCTCCTGCCAGTCTGATTTCACTCTGACATCAATCAGATGGATGATGAGAGAGTCCCCATAGGGCATCCATGGGAGGCCACACAAGAAGGAAGGAGTTCAAAGGCCCAAACTGAACCCTGACACAAACACACACAAACAGACTTTGATATCCAAATATGACCGTGTGTAACACAAACACTCCCGTAGACACAAAACATTCTGCACACTGTGTGTGTGTGTGTGTGTGTTGGGACCTCAGATTTATTACAGCCAAATGTATGCACTATGTCAACGACACTGGGAGAACACATAAGAACAAACCAGAGCAGAAGACAATGATCTCACTTGAGCGAGAGGATCATTTGAAGGAAAATTGAATTAACTGATAAAAAGGGAGATTATTTGCTGTTGTACAAAGTAACGCTGCTAAAATTACTCACTAATCTTCAAGATGCAATTGGCAACGTTTGGGGGCCCAAGCCCATTTTATGAACCCAGAAACCTGTGCTGTGCCATGAGAATTTTGTGACCCTTTAAGGTCACAATTTCTCAGGAAACAGATGTAGTGTCATCTGCAACGCTTACTACAAACGCAACATGGCATCGTGAAGGGGGATAAGGGAGAGGGAGAAGTTTACCTTCTCACCTCGTCTCACGTCCTGCTGAGATGAACCTAATATTGACACATTAAGATGACTACAGTAGGTCAGACCTCCAAAATAAGACACATTTCATTCAATATATCAAGGATAAAATGGTATATAGTTCATTAATCAGTTCAGTAGTCATAAATGTTATCTCTGTTGTGTTACAAGATTTGAGCAGTCTAGAAGTGATTTTAATTTGAATTGATGTTAATGTACACATTAGTGGGTGCAATTCAAATAGCAATAGTTGACACAATGAGCACAAGGTGTTTCATTCTTTAATATTAAGACACTTGTTTATCAATCCCATCAGCATCACACCGGTTGCTTGCACCAAGACAGTCATAGCGGTGTGGGGTCCATTTGTGTACCACTGAGGTGACTTTAGGTTGGAATTGCCATTGTGATAATAAGGTGTGCAACAAATGAATACAATGCAATTGATGATGTACCTTTTTCAGGACAGCCACTTGTGTTGAATCTTACCTTTGTTCCTATTGGTTCACAGGACTGCCGTACAAACTTCAGCTAAAACACTTTGTTCAGTTATGAGTTTCAAAGAACTTAGGCAACATTCACGGGCTGCTTAATGGAACCAGATGGGATTTTTATAAGAACCTCAGGAAATGTGCAACAACAACAGAAAAAAGTCAACACAAATGACACCGTGCTGAAGCACGTACCTTGTGTGCGATGCTCCTGTGTCTGGTGGGTAACCCAGTTCCAAACCTGAGGAGATGAAGTGACCAAAGCACGAACAGCATCTGAAATCTCGCGAACCGCATGTTCCCTGCTTCAAAGCCTTGGTTTAAATCAACACACTTTTATTTTAAAAGTTCTTCTCGCCTTCAAAACAGCCGACTGTTGCCCAGCCCTGTGTGCAGTTTTAGGTCCGTTATGAGTGTCGCACTTGGTGAAGACGCGCACCAGCGTCAGCGGGAATCCCGTGGGTTACCCATTTATCCATGAGTGGCACCAGCGCCGGGCGCAGCAGCTGTCAGTCCGTGTGAGGAGGAATCCGGCTCAGAACGGCTCTTCCCCATAAAAACAACAATCTGGAGAGTTTTAAGATGTCGACGAGAACGTGCACTAACCACCCCACGCACAGTCTCCCAGTCAGCGCCGGCGCTCTCTCATTTAAATACTATCAACCGTGGTCCAATCCGTGGTCAGCGTACTATACCAAGTACTAGTTTTCTATTGGTAACTGATGCGTTTGTCCGTTATCTGGAGCTGAGGGTCCATCAACCCGAGTTTGTGAGAGTCGCTCGCGCAACGGTTCTGCGTAAGTCGTCTTTTACGCACGCATTCAGCAGGCATGGAGCCGAGAGGGGGGTGGGATGATCATTTTGTCACAGCTCTGAGGAGGGGGCTGACCATGAGGAGGTTCAAAAAACCTTGGGTCGACATGTCCACAGACCGCTGCGGTGTTTAACCATGACCGTAAGGCACCGGTTTACTCAGGTGAGGCCGGGGGTCTGTAACCACGAATGAACCAACAGGGATATTTCAATTATTTTAGCATCAAATAAAACTCAAATAAAGTCACAGTCAAAGCCACAAACACATTTCCACAAACGATGCAGCGATGATCATTCGTCGTTTACTGCTGTATCACAGAAAACAAAATAAATGCACATTTTTTTTACATCAATCCCAACACACTTTCATATGCAACTCTCAGTTGTCCGAGGCGACCTGAAGTAAAAACGGCACACCTGAACTTCATCAAGATTAGATTAGATGAATTAGGTTTGCTGACCCCAGACTGGTGAATTCATATTGTGGCAACAAAAAAATCTGAACAAAGAGAATAAAGCTTGCAGTGTGTTTTATAACTGTAACATATAAAAATATTAAAAAAGAATATATTCAAAATTGAAAAGGACATTGGCTTTTTTAATTGTTCTGCTGTTTCACAAATAAACTGAAAATTTAGTTTCTGGTGTAAAATAGGTTTAAATGTGATTTTTATAAATTTAAATCTCCGTCCTTTGTGATGTCTACTTATGAAAATGATCGATGATCTTGCAGGGAGCTCATGCAAAGAGGCTTAAGAGCCACATGTGGCTCAGGAGACACATGTTGCAGGTCCCTGGATTAAGGGTCTTTTTGCCCAATGCGGATACATCTAACAATATACAGTAAAGAGAACCAGAACCACTAGAACTGTAAAAGGTGTAGAGTTAGAAATGGGAGTGTATAGGACCTCTCTGTCAGAGACAGTTTATAGTAATATTAAAGACAGTAAATGGGCTTTATTGAAGTGATAAAACAATGCTATAAATACACTTCCTTAGTTGTTTTCAATGTCACAGTAACTGCGTGATGTGTGTTTTGACATGTATGTATTTTCTCGTTTTATCTTTCTAATCCCGACAGCATCAAAATGATTCACTCTGTAAGATTACAACTTGACAAACTGATGGATTTGACATCCTCTCAAATATGGTGTTCTTTAAAGCTTGTTTGCCACGTTCTAAGCTCGGAAAACAGCTTATTATCACGCACCACAAGTATGTTTGTACTTAAAAATACCTTTTTAAGTAAGTGCTGGATGACTGGCCACCGGATGGCCATGCAGTTACGAGAAACGAGTGATTCAAGCGGGAAAAAGTCTCTTTGGAGATGTTGTTCACGAGCTACAGGTCGTGGTTACCGTCTGTAAATAAATACACAGCCATTCCAGACATTGATATGAAAGTGATTTAATCTTTGCAGTGGCGTCCACTAGCACAGTGAACAAACATCATGGCTTTACAAACTCCTGTAAGTGGTTTATCTTCGACTCAGATACAACTTCAGGGACAAAAGCAACTGATAACTGACTGTTTCCAGTAGTGACTGCAGGTCAGTTTGCAGGTGTGGTGGTAGGCAGTCTGGAAAATTCTTCTCTGCACTGAATTCCTCAGTTTCAGTGGGGGAACCTGGCTGAATGAAACAGTCATGTTGCTGTTTGCAATTACTTTTTTTTTTTTTTTGCCTCTATCGACACAAAGAAGGGAGGCTTTTTTCACATACTGGACGGCTAAAGGAGACTTCAGACGAGAACCATTTTTTCTCATCAGAAGACATCGCTGTGGGTTGTGTTTTCGGACCACAACCATTCATATCACATTTACTTTGAGCAAATGTATCAGCCAGTTGTTGTGAAGACACTTTTTGAGGTGGGGAAAAAAAAAACATTGGAATGAATCAACACAAGAAAATGTGACTAAACGATGTAAAGTCAGCCACGGTGAAAACCTCAGTGATCTGATGCTGAAAATGAACTCACACAGGAACAGTCAGATCCAGCTCTGAGGCCGGCTACACTGACGTCTTCTCTGATTCATATAAGAGCACAAACACATCAATTGGGACTTTGACAGTAGTGTGTGGGCCCATTTTGAGGAGTTGACCGCACATAACAGACAAACAAAACACACAACAAGTCATGTAGGGAATGTCATTAAAAAAAACACATAGTGTGGACAATAAGTCATGAGGAAACGACACGTGAATCAAACCCCGACGATATTCAGTGGCTACGTCATCTGTGCATTTGCAATGCCTGTCAGTAGTGCTGCACTGAAGTTAGCATAGTTAAGACAAAACGCACACCTCGCCCCGGGTTCGCATCGGAAGCTGCCCTTTCGGGAAAACGGTTTCATGTCATTGACGAAGGCGAATAAATAAAAAGCTCTCTGTACATCAGTTAAATGTGGACACGGCGTCTTCATACATACAGATCATATTTACAGCGTGTCATCATGCTCAATGGTGGGTGTTGACGCTGTAACACGTGAAAGCACTTCTGTGACAATGATTGAACAGAGGGAGGGGGGAAAAAATCAAAACACTAACACGCACACTTAGCTTGTAGCTTATAGAAATGTTAAAGACTCTGGGCTCAAGTTTTTGAATGCAGGTGTAAACAGTTAAATAAGGCTAAACGATTTCTAGAAAATAAGTCGTAAAAATATTCCTTAATCCTGCCCTTCGGAATGGAGGGGGGATTCTTTTTTCTTTTTTTCTTCTTCTTCTTTTGGAACATCGGCCTCGCATGTTAAGAGAAAAAGGTACAAAATATATTTATACATAAATATCCTTTGGTGAGGGAAAGACCCGATATGCTATACTTTCTTTTCAAGTAGAAGTGATTAGGCAAAAGCTGTGGGATCAATACGTTAGGAGAACACACACTTATGTTGCTCCTCTGGAATAATCTTCATCTTTCTTTAAAGTCTGGGATCTCCACCCAAAGGCATTTTTAACCACTTTGGGATAAATTATATTTACAGGTATATTTAATTCTCCTTTTTGTGTGCATCACAGACATGGCTATTGTCATATTTATTGTTTTTTTTTTTCAATGCATAAATAGAATCTCTTTGGCCACAGTCAACCGACTTGGCTCTCTGTTGTTTTTAAAAAATACACTGCGTCGTTGTGATTATTGCACGATAGGATACACATACAATGTGCGCACAGAAATAAGACTTAACGTTAGAGCCATACCATCACAGTATGTAAGGACAATGTTTGTAACAATGGACACAGATGTGGGGGGGGAGTACAGGGGTTTGGTCCTTGTCTGTCAGGGGTGAAGGAGCTGGAGAAGCACATTGGTGCTGCCAGCGTTCACCCAGTTGTAGAAGACTTTGGTTCTGTCCATGTGAAATAACACAGCGGGGAGAAAACCGATTCAAGCAACAACAAAAAAACAAAAAACAAAAAAAACAAAAAAAACAAAGAGACAAGAATAAGTAAAGTACGAGGGCTGACATGGTTCAGTCCTGTAGAAGGCTCTCCTCAGACATCCAACCCAGAGCAGGAAGCGGCCTTTCACGTCTGGAGTACTTGAGCTGCAGCACGTCGCCTACTTCACTGATGGCTTCCAACGCCTGTGACAACAACAACAGCAGCAGCAACAAGAAAGAATATTGATAATTAGTGTCCAAGTTTACTTTATTTTTACTAGAGGTTCCCTTGGGAAGTGCAAGATTTAAAATATAAAAAATATTTTTAAAAAATCTTCTGGTTTGTAATCAATATGGGGATTTAATGAATACCAGGATTATAAATTAAGTTCAGGGGAGTTTTGAAGCCAGAGCTGTTTATGACTATGTGTGAAGGTGTTGTATGTGAAAGTATGTGTTGCATTTTCTATTACAAACACACACATACCCATGTAATATGTGAGTATGTGTGTGTGTGTGTGTGTGTGGTGACTAAACATACAAATCAACAGTTAAATCAACAGGGGTTGATTCATTGAGTGGTAAACCACGATCAGGCATGGATTTGAACCATCCAGCATGTCAGAGAGGTGACAGAGAGGAGGCTCGCTCCACAGAAGTCTCCCTGCGTAAACCGCAAGTGAACACAAATACCCCTCCACTTCTTTCCGCCAGAGACTGTATCAGCATTGCAACACTGCAGGACACCTGGAAACAATTTACCTTCCTCCTGACCTTTTTTCTGATTGTGTGGTTAGAGAAACAGCGAGTGCTGGCTTTTTTACAGAGGGGAAAAAAGTGGCTCCTTGTAGCGCTCTACAAAGACGGCCTCGTGCCCTTTATACGGACTTTTACAAATGGTGTCGACATCCTCCTCAGTAAGATGAATGATGGGACTTGGGAGAGACAGAATATTTCAACCTAAAATACTCTGTTGGAGCCACATGGCTATACTTACAGGCAGCTGCGTTTTACATGTAATTAGGAAATACTGAGAGACAGTGTAATTTAATGCATACATGCACATTTACATGTGCAGAGCTGCTCGAAAAAAAAAGGCTACAATCAGCAAAAAAGCTACGATAAAGAAAAGACGTAGAAGTATTAAATGTATTTCAAATAGGTGTACTTAGTACACAATGACCATTCCGGTTATTTACCAACATAAAAATTGAAGAAAAAAAAATCTGGGGCATATGTTAGCGTTAAGATAGGTAAGCACATGTAAAAATAATCCTTAATATTCTCCTCCTAAACTTTACGTAGGGTCAAGATCTCTTCAAGAGAGTTGTGCAAATATAAAATACTGTTGGTTCCATATACAGTAGGTAACATATGTCTCAACTGTGAATGAAATGTGTGTTTTGAGAAGTATGGGTGCCACAAAGACTTACTATATCAAGCATCTCTCTGGTGTGAGCAGCTGAAACACAGAACCGAGCTCGTGACTCGATGATGGGCGTCGCTGGGAAGCCCACCACCACCGTGCCGATGTTTCTCTTCAGCACAGGGGTTGATTCATTGAGTGGTAAACCACGATCAGGCATGGATTTGAACCATCCAGCATGTCAGAGAGGTGACAGAGAGGAGGCTCGCTCCACAGAAGTCTCCCTGCGTAAACCGCAAGTGAACACAAATACCCCTCCACTTCTTTCCGCCAGAGACTGTATCAGCATTGCAACACTGCAGGACACCTGGAAACAATTTACCTTCCTCCTGACCTTTTTTCTGATTGTGTGGTTAGAGAAACAGCGAGTGCTGGCTTTTTTACAGAGGGGAAAAAAGTGGCTCCTTGTAGCGCTCTACAAAGACGGCCTCGTGCCCTTTATACGGACTTTTACAAATGGTGTCGACATCCTCCTCAGTAAGATGAATGATGGGACTTGGGAGAGACAGAATATTTCAACCTAAAATACTCTGTTGGAGCCACATGGCTATACTTACAGGCAGCTGCGTTTTACATGTAATTAGGAAATACTGAGAGACAGTGTAATTTAATGCATACATGCACATTTACATGTGCAGAGCTGCTCGAAAAAAAAAAGGCTACAATCAGCAAAAAAGCTACAATAAAGAAAAGACGTAGAAGTATTAAATGTATTTCAAATAGGTGTACTTAGTACACAATGACCATTCCGGTTATTTACCAACATAAAAATTGAAGAAAAAAAAATCTGGGGCATATGTTAGCGTTAAGATAGGTAAGCACATGTAAAAATAATCCTTAATATTCTCCTCCTAAACTTTACGTAGGGTCAAGATCTCTTCAAGAGAGTTGTGCAAATATAAAATACTGTTGGTTCCATATACAGTAGGTAACATATGTCTCAACTGTGAATGAAATGTGTGTTTTGAGAAGTATGGGTGCCACAAAGACTTACTATATCAAGCATCTCTCTGGTGTGAGCAGCTGAAACACAGAACCGAGCTCGTGACTCGATGATGGGCGTCGCTGGGAAGCCCACCACCACCGTGCCGATGTTTCTCTTCAGCATCTCCCGGCCGAAAGCACTGTAAAAAAATAATAGTAAAAGGTGGAACACAGCACATCACAGCGTCTTAGTCACAGTCTTTCCACTTGGAGTGCGGTCTTTCCAAAAGGACGTCAGTTTGTTGACATTGGGCCGTCACCATAGCTGGTTCCAACAACAACAACAACAACAACAACAGCAGAGGAACATACCCTATTTTTGCAGGCATGTAGAGCATCAGTGGTACAACAGGTGAGTCATCGTTGCCATAGATGATGAAGCCCATGTCCCAGAGTTTCTTACGGAAGTATGTGGTGTTCTGTGAAAGCTGTCTAAGGCGATCGGCACCTGGAGAAAGACAAAACGTCAGGGTAGAACCTTAGAGCACAGTAGGCGATTTGTTAGTGGAAGATTGAGGGTTGAACCGAGGCAAACACTTCAAACATATTCCATGAAGCTCATGTGATGGACATGGCCACAAGGACTGTGGGCAACTTCTCAAGGTTACTATTATTTAACTGAATGTTAGGTAAACAGACACCCAAATCTATCAGCTAGAGATATGAAAGACCACCCAGTCTGTTGTCAACGAAGGGGGCACACGGTACAAACAACAGCAACATCAAACAACTTGGACTCTGGATAAACTCTGCTGATATGTTATGTAGAATGTTGACCAAATATTTATTCATCAAAACAAATATGTCAAAAAGACACAGATGTTTTCGCCTCATGTAAACGTCCTCTCTCTTTGGTTCTGTGTGCCGTGTGGAAGGGAGTGATTGACAGGGGGCAGGGGTGTGCGCAGGGTCACTCGCTTTAGCAACTAACATAAAAAGAAGTCAAATACTACTTTCTTATGTTATGGGATCATTTTGAGACAATTGGGATTCTCCCAGTCTGAGGTTCTTGGGCTGAAACTACACAGGCATCAATTCTCACGTGTTAGTCCATCTACACTGTAATTTCACAGGCTGTGTCCTCAGGCCATGCCTCCACAGATGGCCACTTAGCCAAACAAATAAGCATATAGCACTGAGAGCCAGCACTTACACATATAACTGTCTGGCTGTGCTGCACGGCCGAGCAGAGACATCACTGCTTCAAAGGGAATGTGAGACACAACAAATTCTGACATGTTATTTATCCAGGCATTTTCAACAAGATTCCCTTGCTCCTCTCTGTGCCGAGTGATCAACTGGAAGGAGAGAGTGCTTCATAATATTCAGGGATTTTCGCTTTCCAAATGCTTCAGCAATCGTTTCATAACAATTACGCTGCTTCCATAAATCTGACTGAGCTTCAAAGCTTCGAACAACAAATGTTCAATTTGACGCTGGCCGGTGCCAGGAATCATGAGGAGCAACTCGAATGCAGCAACAAACCGTTGCTCAGTTGTCATTTCTACTTCATGTCAGTGTCTGGGCCTTCAAAGGCTTGGATTTCAAACAGTGACATGGCTGCAACCAATCAGACGGTCATTGTTAGTCTTCCACAAGGAAAACATGTCAAGCTGGGATTCCAAGCGAGTGTCGGCCAATCTGGCCTCCACTTCTCAGAAAGCATTTAGAGAGGGAGTTGATGACATCGTGGAACAGTTCAAAGAATACTCCAGGTGTTTATTCCTGGACTTAACCATTCAAAAGCAGAAAAATTGGATCTTATATTAGCACTGATTAACGGGATCAATCAAGCACAAAAACATGTTTTCTTCGCTCTGATCTGTTGACTTAAACACTATGTTGCTTTGCACTTACTATGAAGGTAGTGAAGCATAGACAGAGCAACGAAACACATCTGAAAGTAATAAAGGGAGAAGGTATAGGAGTCAGCATGCCACTAGTTTATGAGACTGGCCTAAATCACAGAGTAGCAAGGAAATGTCCACCTACATGTTAGGGTCTTAAAAAAAAAATCACATTCTTAAGGATAAAGACAGATTTAAAAGGAAAAGAAAAGGCCACTGTGAACATATTCAACTGTACTGCATTGTTCTTAATGAGCCTGAGTGAAAGAAAGAAATCAACATCGTCCAATTTAAAATGATTATAAACATCTACTTCTCCAAAGCAAAACTACAGAGAGAGGTCTCAACAGCTAGCATGAAAATGTAAAGTGACAGCTGAAAGACAACGGTTATTATAGTCTACAAAGTCTCCCTACCACTCATCCGCTTTCAAATGAAACGTGTACAAAAGACCTATACTGCCACCTTGTGGCCATAGATAATAAAACGAGACAGGCAATTTAATACACTTCAATTGACACCTAGTGCAGTACGTTTGTTGTCTACCTAGTGTGGAGCCATCCTCTCCCATGATGATCTTCATTGAAGTGATGATCTGCTGTGCCACAGGAGGAGACATGGAGGTAGCGTAGAGGGCACTGTGAGAATGCGACCGCAGGTAGTCTATCAGCTCCTAAGAACAGACGAATAGGACAAATATTCAGTCACTGCAGTTCTGTAATTTTACAAGATTATGGGCATCTGTTTGTGACATTAGTGTCCCAGTCTTGACTGTACTTAAAGACAGACGGCTTCATCTTCATCGTGATTTTAAAGCTTTTAATATTCACCTTTTTACCTCCGATGTACCCTCCAGCAGCACCAAAGCTCTTTGTAAATGTCCCCATCATGATGTCCACATCATTAGGGTCCAGGCCAAAGTAGTCGACGACACCTCCCCCATGTGGCCCTAAGGCTCCGATGCTGTGAGCCTCGTCCAGGTACAGGTAGGCCTTGTAGCGTTTCTTCAAAGCAATGACCTCAGGAAGACGCACGATGGAGCCCTCCATACTGAAAATAATACAAAAAAGTGTGAGATTGCTCTTGATGATGGCAGCAGTACATCAAAGTGTGCACATCAGCAGTTGCTCCAAAAAAATAAAATTAGCTGTAGCAGTTACTTTAAAAATCCCAATGGAAATGAAACTCCATTAAAAGAGCATTAGTGAAAAAAGGACATTGATTATGTCAGGCACAACCCCAAAGTACAATATTGACCAAAGGAATTGATTGCCATTAAAAATAAGTACACTTCAATGAGCAGGGAATACATCACCTTGTGAGGAGTGTCAACATAATTAAAAAGGCCATTTATTTTCTATATTTAAAGAAAGGGTTAAATCAGGAAAGACAGAACTGGGAACTTAATGATTCTGGGAAAGTAAAGGTTTTTCTTTTCATTTTATTATCAAGTATTTTTGGGCAAAGGTGTTTGACAAAAGGCCCAAACCATACCTGTATATTCCTTCGACCACAATGAGGATTTTCTTCCAGGGTCTGTGGGTTCTGGGCTGACCGTGAACGATGGCATCTCTCAGAAGCTTCTCCAGACTTTGCATGTCTGCAACACAGTACAACACCACTTTTCAGTAGCCAGAAAAAAATACCCAGGTTCATATTTTATGACTCAAAGCCTCTGATGTTCTGAGTGTCTAAGCAGCTAAATGCACTTGCTTACAGTCACAATTCCATAAAAAATGGCTGTATAAATTCTCATTCATTCAGGTTGTGATTATGCAATGTCAGACAATTCAAAATCGACACCAAATCATTTTTTAAACTGTTTGAGTGAACCCACTGTTGTGTTTGAAGACACGAATTGTGGAGCCAGACAGACGAGCACCCAGAACCAGAGATGCGTGATTCAGCTCATCACTCAGGATAAGACACCCCTATAAAAAATAAATAAAAACAGAAAAAATTAAATGTCCACTTCAATCAGACCTTAATTTAACAGCATGTACATTTTTGGACAATAAATACAGAATAAAATGCAACTTTATGCTGTTTATAAATTACCAGTAAAGTATTGCCAGTTTTACATAAAAATATATACTGTATATAATTTATAAATTAAATACCAATATTAAATATTAAATATTTTGCAAGTATGAAGAGTTTCTAATAATTTTTTAAAGGTCATTAGACGTATTTTCTAATAATCTATTTCCAATCACACAGTGCACTTATACTAGTAATATTAACTGAGCTAATAGACAGCAATGCAAATAAAACCAACACGCTCTCCTGACAAACCAGAAATGAAATGCAAATTGACAAGCCTACCATAGTTAAAAAACAGGATACGTTTTTTTTTTATTGCTTCATAATGGGAACACGCCCAAACATTCACCCAGGTCATTTCCTTCCCTTCGATCAAAAGATAAATGAGCTTGAGAGACTGAATGCAGTAGTTCCGTGACATAAGCAGACCAAATGGATCCTTGTTATAAACCTTAAAAATACAATAGGCTATAAAGATTTAGCCTATGTTTCTGGCAGGAAATATGTTCACTGACCCACACGTGGCTGAGTTCTTTTGTACTTCCTTTCAGTGAAAGAAGATTGTCACTGACAGATAAGGGCATGTAAGAAATTGAGTAGGAGAAAAGGTCAAATATTTGTCTTTTATCTTCTGCACAGACAATGTCTCGAAAGTTTTTTTTCTCGGCTGTACATCTGAAAAAGCAGTTTGTTTAAACTATGCAGACAGTATATTCCATAATAACAAAAGCAGATATAGCACGGAAACAGAGAGAATGTAACGATACCAAGTATGAAAAAAAGAAAAAAGAAAACATAGAACATTTAACGCTTCATGATATTCCCTACCTTCCCGGTGAGAGCAGGGATGTTCATGGAGTTGGTTGCAAACCCCATTCCAAAAGCCATGGAAGACTCCACACCAAGAAACCTCGCAATCAATTGTTCCAGCTCCTCGTGGATGTCCAGGTTCCCTGAAATCAGCATTTTTGTCAAGACAGCAGCTCCACCTCACGACATAAAACATTAATCGTAGCTTCTCTTTACTCCATAAAAAACAGTATAGGTGTCAGATACACGTTTCAGCTCCCTCAAGGACTGTGTGATTATAACTCAAACAACTACATTTACTCAAAGTAAAAAATAGCCATCTATCAAAAAAAAAAAACTGCTTTTATTTATTCTTTTTTTTCTGGTCAAAGAATCTTAGAAAACATTTGATTTTTACCTATCTCACAGCGAGTACTGCCCACACCAGATCCGTACTTCTTCGTGACATCCACAGCGGCATCGGCACACGCCCCGACGTTTTCAGCAAAGCCAAGGTAGTTGTACGAGCCCATGTTGATGACATCTTTCACCACCTTGCCTGTGTGTCTAGAAGAAACAGAGAGGGTGTAAATGCCACACGCAGTGTGCTAATGGGTGCGATTCTTTCTGTGATATTTACTTGGAATAACACTTCTTCTCACTGTTGTTCTTAGCTTGTCACGGTTATCATGCACCTTAATAATAGTACAATCTTACTGACAAGAAGAGACAAGAGAAATCGTGGATATTATTACTACAACAGTGAGGGGGGGGAAATAAAAAGCATGGGTTTTCATGGCGATGGTAAATGGACTTACTTAAATGTCCAATTGTAATCATAGGAAACTCTCTCCGCCAGGTCCATCTTGGCTCCAGGGACACCACAGACAGGTCGGTTCCAGTTATCACGGATCCTCATGTATAAATTCCGGGTGTAAAAGTTCTCAAAGTCCTGATAGAGTGGGACAAAATCCTGCAGAAAAACAAATTGGAAATAGTTGGTTTAAGATTTGTTTTTTTACCTTTTTAGAAAGGTTAACATTTTCTAAAGGTGGTGTAGGAGGATGAAGAGAAGAAAGAGATGCAGAGGACAGAACGTTGAATTGACATTAAATGGCTTGACTATCCTGTTATTTGTTCTTAATTACCCTTTAAATTAAAAAACAAAAAAGATCTAATGTAAACACTGACCTTCTGCTGCTCTCTGTCCCGGGCCACATGGCATTTCTCGATGTTCCAGTGACGGAGAAAGTCTCGGAGGTAGCCAAAAATTGTGAGGATACCGTAGCCCATGTAGGTGAGCACAGCCACCAGGAGGGGTGTCTCCTCAAATGACTCCACGAAGGGCCTTTTGTACAGGTTGGAGTTGTGTGTAACATTTGGGTTCTGTGGAAAAAAAAACATAAAACAAACACATTGGTGTTGCTGTTTTACCACTTCACAATTGTCCTAAGTTTATCCATGAACACTGTTGCACAGTCTTTATAAAAGCAAAGGCAAATCGAATCTTTACCGACAACTGAAATACTGCTTTGTATTACATAAACGCAAACCTGCAGGTCATTATGTTAATACAAGTTGTCCAGTGAGCCAAGAGTGTCTTCTTTAAAAGGCAATGGTTTACCTTCACTTCAAGTCTGTTTGCCTATTAAATCAGCTACACAGGACACCGCCAGTAAACTGCTTAAAGGAAAGGCCTGACAAACAGGGAAAGGTTTGCACATGCTCAGTGACAGCAGAGCGTATTTCCTAAAACCATGTTCTCTTGGTGGGAGGAAGAATCCAAATATCAAAATACAGCTCAATTGATCGGCAGAGACTATACTGTGCCAGGTCCCTGTGGAGCTGTGAGCTACATTAGCACCAAACCTGGCTTAGTTTTATGAAGATCAGAACAGGCCCTGAATAATGGGCACATATAAACATGGTCATGTGCAAAAGGAGCATCAGAAAAACCTCAACACACACACACACATACACACACCGCTGTAATCTTTCCAAGTCTGCCTGTGCCCTAGTTGTCTACAAAACCCATGCTAAACAAATGAGGGCAATCATTCACTCTGCAGCTTAGCAACCATACCTCATGTGACCAGTCATGCTTCTCAAAGAAATACCTCAGAGTCAAGGAAAAGTAGAACTGCAGTGTGTGTTAATCATTCATTACCTGTTTTTGCTTATTGGCATTGAGCATTTGTGAATTGAAGTACTCTCTGATTCTTATTCTCTATTTTCTCTCCACCTTGTATACAGGTGTGTGTTGAATATATTTTCAGACATTGGTAGCAGGAATTTTGCGTTGTGTTTTTCTTACTAATTTCCTCCTGCAGAGGCCCATAGTGAAAAGATTTAAAGTCATTCCAAGCCAGAGTGACTTTAAGTTGTTAAGTAACATTCCATGTCATGAAGAACACTTGCACCGTTGTCACCCACACCGAGAATGCTGCAGAACGAGAATGAGCAGAAGAAAAGAAGCAAACGTCTAAATCAACATAACAAGTGCAAAGTGTTGCCTATTATTGTCAAAAATCAGCAGCCAAGTTTATTTTCCCTTGTTGCCGTGTTTATTAAATTTTTAATGGCCCTGGACCAACGCCTGAAAACCAATAGGTGTGCACCGTTCCATTATACCTGGAAACGCAGTCATCCTCCCAGGAAGAGAGACTATCCAACACACACAGGAAACCTGCTCACTCATACACTTGCTCTGCAGCCGAACAGGTGGTGATCAAATTACAATGTGTATACAATAACAAAGGTTTGCACACTATACATTTCACAAATACACTCAGAACACCTCGAAATTTGTTCTTACATACATTTCTGTTGTAAAAAAAAATAATTCTTGAAGAGATAACATTCTTCTTTCAATCACACCCTCCTGATAATATTTAAAAATATGTGAAACTTGTGCTTCCACAGATGGAGTCTGTGATGGAGTCAGCATGAAGACTGCACTTCAAATCATTTCTAGACAAGCTCCTTTGTAGGACTCGTAACTCAACTGAATCACATATAATCAGCTTTAGTTATTAGAACATACGTACAGTCCGAGATTGTGGTCAACTAGGATGTTATTTCCTTCATTCTATTGTATATACATGGAAAATATACACAAAAATGCCCAACGCAAACTGTTGTGTTACTTTATATAAATGGCAATTAGTTGTTATGGCTGGTACTGATTTTCACTAAGGTTCATGACATAAGGTGATAAAAAATACACTGATATTGATGTTTATTTAATTAAAAAAAATCAAAGACCACCATCACCTATTTTAAGTCCTTTGACACTAAAGTAGTAAACTTGATGTGATTAGGTCTATTTACTATCACTGGGCTATCTGATAAGAGCAACAACAGAGACAACTTGCATCTGTGTTTGCTTTTTACAGAGAGACGAGATAATATGCATGAGACCATAGTGGGTGCAACAGCCTAGCATCTGGCCCTAATTGCATAAATCGAAAATCCGGCATATGTTGAAATCAGCGGCTGTGTGCTGTCACAAGACTGGAATGTACTTCTCTTCAACATTGGAGCGTGTCTGTTACCTCTACTGTAACGTTCTGTGTTTAATTTAAAACAAAACAAGGGCATACACACCCATCACCCTAAATGCACAACCATTACAAACACAAACATATTTCCCCTCTACTCCAGGAGGAGCCACACCCTTCT